GCTGACGCAACAATATATATATTACGTTCTTATAATTGCAAATGAGTTATTACTGAAAAATAAAATTTCTTTGTTGTTGTTCTTTATTGTTTTGGTAGATTTCAAATAACCTGCATTACAGAAAGCACAATTCTTTCTGTCACAACTGAAGATACCTTCGTTAGATAGACCTCTTTTTAATCTATAGACATTTTTAGGTTGCCTTGTTGATAAAATAATTATATTATTTTGGAAAACATCTTTCAGTTTTTTATCTACTATTTATTTTAATTGTGTATTAACAAATGAAATATCAATATGTATATTTGGACAATGAGTTACAACAAAAGGTATAATATTTTCTTTAGGTTTACTAATCTCTCTGTTTGAATGTTTTTTTTTTATGAAAAATTTTATTCTTATCAATTTCAAAACCTCTTAATATAATTGTTTCCGGATAATTACACTGATCTAAGTTTAGATCTAATAATCTATTAATTCTCGTTTCTTCGTTGGAAACCAAACGATATAATATACCAGCAAGACTTACAGCAACATCTAATTTTATATGTTTGGATTACTCACTAAAAAAAAAATCTGCATATTTATGTGAGTTTGTAGGCTTATAAAAATATCAGTTAGTTTCTTTTTCCGGTGAGACACTTAACATATATAAACCAAAACGTAACATTATTCATTATTATAATATTTAACTATGCAATTAACATTGGATTATTAATGGCGGCTACTTAGTTTACTGTAAGTAATATTATCTTATTATACTTGTTCCATCAGATGTTTTATAAGAAGAAGTTATGATATCCTTAAAATGCTAAGTTTAGTCTTGTTTGGTATAAAGTTTATACATACAATGTAACCCTAATAATTCAGTCGTTATATGCCGCTTATCTCCGAGTTGTAGTAAGATAGAGGGCGCTGAATTAATCGAGTTAATATATTGTAGGCGTGACGGTGGAATGAATATCTAAATAGACCGGTTGATCAAAATATACAAGTAATGTTCTAGCTGGTGGCGTGTTTTATAAACTAATTTCTGTAATATGTTTTCAAGTCTCAGATACGAGATAAGTCTCCTTGTCACGTTGATTGAACGTAATTAGTTCCATCAAAAAACTTGTTGCTATGACGATAGTATAAAACGATTATGTCGTAGGAGTAACATCTCCACCTACATATTCATTTTTCAGCCACGCACATACGCATACAGGAAATGTGTGCGATTCAATGTAACCATACACAAAGGTAAATAGTTTTCTACGTCAACAAACCCTTGTAAATTGTTATTCCTAATTTCTAAATATAGGATAATGTTAGCGAAATTTTATTAATAATCTCTAATATAAAATAATTCTAGTAAATTATTATTTTTTATAACTTTTTTCTGTATGAGCAAAACAATATGTATTTCATCTAAAATCAATCTATAAATATACACGGATGAAGAGAACCGGTGGGGATTCTGAGTGACCAGAATACCTAAACTACTATTACTGTGCCTGGTGGTTAGGATACTATAGTAAAAAAACAAAACAACAACAACACTATAGTCGCAATCTAAGGGTCGTTGGTTCGAATCCCCTCTACGAACATTCTCCTTTTTCAGGCGTGGACGCGTTATAATGCAAGAAGCAAAAGTATTAATCTATTAAATTATTTCACAGACTTTAAAAAGGTTAATTGTGTTACACTCTTGGTTTCACTCAGAGCCAAAACTCTGAGCTACTTACATCGCGAAAAGTAATTATTGAACATTTCAGTCATGCTACGAGCTGCTCAACAATAACATACGGTCAATCTATATTTTTAAGTTACGTAAAATTTTGAAACGTGAATGATAGTGCGATTAATTTCTAAAAACTTAGTGCAGAATATCCTGATTGCGAAATAAAATTTGGCATCAACCTTATTCATGCCTGTTCTCCTGCCATTTCAAAAGTGAATGTTGAGCTTTGCCTGCGTGCACAGCTTTTCAAACGCAGCGCAGGAAGCGGCCGCCGTAAACGTGAAACAGACGAACGCTCGGACAGACACCATGGTTCTGCAATAAAAATAAGATAGTCGACCCCAATATTCGTTGACAAAGAGTAGCCCAAGAGTTGGTGGCGGGTGGTATTGACTAGCTGCCTTCCCTCTAGTCTGTCGCTTAAAAATTATGGACAGATAGTGTAGATAACCCTCGAGTAGCGTTGTGCGAAAAGGAAAAAACAAACAAACTGCTACTACTAATACAAAATAATAACAACATAAGCTTAGGCTTAATGCTAGTACTAATAGCATAATGTTATTACTATGTACTGGATCTAAAGGAAGTGTATCCTAGGTAATACGTCGGTAAGCCTTAAGTTGTTTATAAAGTTCTTCCTAATTAG